AGAGCGAGAGCGAGAGCGAGAGCGAGAGCGAGAGCGAGAGCGAGAGCAGTTGCTCAGGTAATTGTTTTATCATGGCAACTGGGAAATTATCAATAAATTGAGGAAATCTGATTGGTAAATAAACATCAAAGTTCTTTGGCACAAGTGAATACTATGGGTTTAAATAAAGAGAACTAAATTATACCTATCAAATAAAAACAATAAAGTTAAATGAATACCAAAGAAGCAATTGTATTTATATGTAATTAAATATAAAAAGTTACAGATTTTCAGACTTAAGTTTTAATAATATTTAATAGGATTTTAACGCAATATTCCTAAAGCAAGATATAACTAATAAATAGCTCATTGTCATCTGTACTGTAGTACATTTTGTACAACATATTTATAATCACGTATTTTAATAAAAATTTCATTGATTTTTGTGGAATTTTATTATTAGCAATATGAATCTAGGATGGATTAATATATCTATAATAAGTTGTTATTAATATATTTGTGAATATTTTATTTACATATTTTGTTGTACTGCAGTCATAAATGTTGGCATACATTAGCTTACTTCTAAAGTAAAGTATGAAGCATTTTAAAGTTAAATAAGAAGAATTAAAATTCTAACAAAATATAATCCATGGTAAAAAATATTGGGGAGAGAAATATATGGGAAAGAAAATGTTAAAAAGGGCATGTTATCCGAAATATGAACCTATAATAGAATTTTTTTTTATTGGATGATTTATTTACATTTCCTATGTTGTCCCCTTACCCCATCCCCCACCACCCCCTCGGAACCCCCAATCCCCTCACCCCTCCTCCTTCTTCTCCGTGGATGTAACCTCTATCAACCCCCCTACTCCCACCTCCCCACCCTCAAAATTCCCACCCCCTGGGGCATCCAGCCTTCATGAGGTCAAGGTTCTCTTCTTCCACCTATGCCCAGCAGGGCCCTCCACTTTTACATATTCAGCTGAAGCCCTGGATTCCCCCCCTAAGTGCTCCCAGGCTGGTGGTTTAGACCCTGGGAGCTGTGGTTGGTTGGTATTGTTGCTCTCCTCATGGTGCCGTAAATCCTTTCAGCTCCTTCAGTCTTCACTCTAACTCCTCTATTGAGAACCCCATGATCAGTTCAATGGCTGGTTGTGAGCATCTGCCTCTGAATATGTCTGACTCTTGAAGGCCTCTGAGGAGATATCCATATCAGGCTCTTATCAGCATGCACTTCCTGTCTTCCACATCAGCATCTACCTTTGGTGATTGCACATGGGATAGATACTCAGGTGGAGTGGTCTTGAGACGGCCCCTCCTTCAGTTTCTGTCCCTCACTTTGTCTCCATATTTGTTCCCTTGAGTATTTTGTTGCTCCTTCTAAGAAGGACCGAATCACCCTCACTTGGTCTTCCTTCTTTATGGGCTTCATGTGGCCTGTGAGTTGCATCTTGGGCATTTCAAGGTTCTAGGCTAATATCCAATAATCAGTGAGTGAATACCATGTGTGTTCTTTTGTGATTGGCTTACCTCACTCAGGATGATAATTTCTAGTTCCATCCATTTACCTAGGAACCTCTCGAATTCATTGTTTTAAAGCACACAATTAAGACTTTTCTGAGAGGAATGCATGAGTTGACAGTTGTCAGAAAGGATGGTCTCATGGAAAGCCCAGAGCAAAATCTAAAGCCCTAACCATGTCACTTCCTGCTGAGTCGCTTCTGAGGCTTCCCATTGTTACTGGATAAAATCCAGCAGGTTCTATGGTCCCTGTGTGACTCAGTTTGTTTCCCTTCTCTCTTCCTTACAGTCTTCAGCAAGCCACCCTCACAGCTTCCTGAGTGTAAGAGCTGCAGTCCACCTGCCCAGAGCCTCAGACTTCACAAAATCCTGTCGTTCAAGATTCTCCTCTAGAGATTTCTAGGTCAGAAGCTTTACCAGTGGGTGGGGTACTCAAAATAAGCAAATATGCAAAAGAGAACAATTTCCCCTATTTCTCAGTGAGATTAGTTTTGATTTCTTCACCAACACTTAATAGTATAAGATGTTAGAGTGTGTTTGTGTGTGTGTGTGTGTTCAAGCTAGAATTATCTGTTTTTATTTACAGTAAAAATCAGGGAAGAGAGTGAACACAGTCCCCTACTACCACAAATTTTGCAGTTTCCCGGGTTTGAGGAAATTGCAGAGGTTAGCATAATCCAAGAACAAGAGGTGAACTTTACCTGGAGGGTGGGGGGGACCACCTTCCTGATCATAGTATCTCCCCTTTGTTATTTTGTTTTAAATTTTGTCCGGTGTCTGCCCTACTGGTGCAAAAGATATGTCTTCAATTAGATCCTTAAAAATATATTTTATATATTTATTAACTTTTTCTTTTTCTCTCTGCGCTTGTGTGTGCATGCATGCATATATATGTGTGTGTGTGTTCACGTGTGCACGCGAGTATGTGTGTACGAGTTTATGGTACAGTGTGCTTGTGAAGGTCAGAGGGCAGCTTATGTTCAGTTCTAGCCTTCCACTTGTGCGTTCTGGAGATTGAACTCAAGTTGGCAGCACCATCAACTGCTGTGGCATCTTTACCCACTGTTCTATCTGGCTGCCCCAGACTATGAGTCTATCTCACATTCAAGCTGCAGCACAGTGAGACACCCTTCATGTTCCAGTACATCTCTGAAGGCACCTGTACAATGGAGCTGGCAAAAAACACACTCTAGGAATGCCAGATATGCGACTGGCCAGCTATTCTACTTGGAAACGCTTCTGGCCTCAGTTACCTCTCCTGTAAGAAGCATAGTTCTAAACAGCTTTGTAAGGTTGAAACTCACTGCTGGGTTTATTCGAGTGAACAATACTTTGAATCTGCGAACATCATCTAGCAGATGAATAGGTGACAGTTATGAACAAGATTGGGTTCTGGAGTTTTCTGCTTCAGCTCAGCTGCCCTTGATACAGAATTATCAGTGTAACTACAGGCTGAAGCAATCACAGATGGAACTCCTTGCTTCCCTGCCCTTCCTTATTTTTTATTGTAAAACATGAGTGTTACATTCAGGTCAGAAAAGCACTTGAACTTCGTTCTGATTATTATGACAATGTTATCAGGCCTGCCAGATTAAAGCAATCTCCATCTCGGTATTGTTTCCATGCTCAGGCAAAGGGGATGGTATACATTATGATTAAATAACACAGAGTCTGGGCTGCCTCTCACATAGAATTAATTTTGGTATAGCTTCCATTTCATTAGAGGAACACTTTAAAACAGGTCAAGTGTAACCCAGGCTAAATTGAAAATGCATTATTCTATTTTGGTAGGCTCTCCAAGCTGATACATATTTAATGCAATTTTACAAGGAAGTTCAAATGTCAGGCAGACACCTTTAAGAAAACAAATGTCTTAAGTTTTACACTAGGTAATTTCTGAATAAACACTCAGTATATCTCCTTGACTATCCCAGAGCTTTTTCTTGGCGGAAAATAAGCTATTTGTGTGAGTTATATGAAGTAAATCTGACAAGCCGTGGGGAGCGCTGTTCTCTCTATTGGCTCTGTCTCTTTGGGATGTAGTTTAGGGTTGCAGAAATAAACTTTGTATTTTTCTACACCTTTTTTCTTAGGATGAGATTGTTGCAATTATGAATATTTAATGGAATTTAGGATTGTGCCTTATTGTTTACCCATGTATTCAGTTTCATTTTTTTTTTCAGGCTGTTCACTTAGCCAGACAACCATGTGAATTTTGACTTTCTACTTGATTGTAAGACAGCCTCTTACTGTAGGCAAGCCCCTTTCTTTGGTAGAAACATGACTCAAAACTGAACATTATTTTACATTGCTGTCCCTATGTCTCACAAATAAAGGTGTAGACTACAAAACTGGACATGCAGAGGTTTGTAACTGTCACTACTGGATGGGATTTGCTCAAGAACTGTGTGACATAGTCCTTTAATTATTAGGCTTAGTGTTTGCCTCCCTCTGCACCCAAATCAATTGAGGGGGGAGGTGAACTGCTTCCTGTCCCATCAATATACTTTTCGAAAATCTGTGAAAGAACTTTGGGGCTTTGTGTTTAAACTCATGTTCAGATGTCTTGTGGAAGAGTTGGGCAAAGGATCAGGGACTTCACAAGAAGATCAACAAAGTCAACTAAACTAGACACTTGTGGGCTCCCAGAGACTTAACCGAAGAGCATACAAGGGTTGGACTTAGGCCTGTGCACATATACCACAGGCATGTAGCTGGGTCTTCATGCAGGTCCCCCTACAACTGGAGCAGGAGTTGTTTCTGACTCTTGCCTCCCTGTGTATTCTGTTCCCCTAACTGGACTGCCTTGTCTGTCCTCAGTGGGAGATGTGCTTAGTCTTGCAGTGACTTTAGTTATAGGGTGGGGTGATTTCCAGGGAGGACCTCCTCCCTCTCAGAGAAGAAGGTGAGGGGAGATGTTGGAAGAGGGTATATCAGTCTGGGGAGGGCTTGTGATCAGAATGTAAAGTGAATAAATGAGTGAATTAAAGGAAAAAAGAGTTATCAAAATCATCAACACAACTAAAGGGTCTATATTGATTATTCTCTTAACTTTTAATTAAAAATGTGAATAAAAAAGCCTCATGTCATGAAGTTCACAAAATCATTTGGATTTTTCAGAATTATTTTTCTAGATGTAAAGATATTCCAGATACTGTTTTTCCCAGATGAACATCTATGAGCAGTTACAGTGTTATGATCAATCTTTTCCTGGATCTCAGGAGAGCCTGCAAAAAGCCTGCTGCTACTGAGAAAACACATGGACTCAAGAGCCTCACGGGCTTCTCTTCTCATGTCTTTTTAGCAGTAAACGGCAGCACAGGGACCCACATATCATTCTGATAATGGCAGACACCTCAACACCTTGTTTAATACTCTCTTCCCAAGGCCTAAAGTTTTTAATCTGTACCCGCTGTACCTGTAAAAATATGTCTCCTGTCTATCTCCACTACTTAAATGCCTATGATTCTCATGGGCCGGCTAGCATTGCCTCTTAACTGTTTGGCTTATCTGTCTTTTCCTGCATCAGCTGGCTACAGTGTTTGTAAGAGAAGTCAGACCTTTCTACATTACTCTTTTGTTTGAATCTTTAAATGTTCTCTGTAGATCACATGGTAAAGTTCTAGTTCCCAGTTCAAGGCTTCCATCTTGTCCCTACTAGTGATTAGCTGTCATTCCTATCTTTGTCAGTCTTCCGGATGCATTTTTCCTTCCTAGTTAACAGCCACTCCCACACCAGCACGTCTCTTTCCTTGGCTCCTCTAGTCCTCCAGATGAGCATATGCCTTCCTTTCCTTTCCCTCCCCCAGCCATCAATTTCCCCTCTTTTCCTTCCCTCCTTCTCTCCCCTTCTACTTTATTCCTTTCATTCTTCCTTCTTCTCTTACTGTATCTTTCACTATCACCATCTGTTTAAATTATGCAAAAGTCATTTTGGACTCCACAATTTAATGATTTATTTTTGTAACATTCTCATATCTTTCTGTGTCTTGTTGTGAAGCTAGGAACTCTTTCTCTAAAATTGACTAGTACACAAAATAAAATAGTCTCAGTGCCAACACTTCCCAAAGTCTCTGGAGCACCAGATCTCTCCAAAACACTTGTTGTGATATTTGGTGGCTTAGAATGCTCCTGATGTTTCTCCTAATGTTCCTTACCAAGTTCTTCTAGATTTTCTTGTCACCTTCTTTGTGAGAATAGGTTTGTTCTTCAAAGCTGTCTTTCGACTTAATTTTTATGACATACTTTCTCCCTAGCATGTGATTTATTTAGAACTTTCACATCTCCGTAATTTTTTGTGGTTCTCTAAATGACACTTTATTCTATAAATTTCCATTGCATTCCTAGTGGCCAGTCTGGTACCAAGTGGGACCAGTACATGTGACACACACATGCATACACATTCTACATGCTCAACAAATACATACAGTTAGATACATAATACATAATAATGTTTAGTGAAACTGCCCTATTTCAGAACTGTATGCAGAAAATGGCAAACAATATCGTAATGCTTGAGATTTCTCCTCTAAATGAGTTTTATGACCCCCATGAGTTCAAAATGTGTAGTCTAAACGGAGGCGCATAGATTGTAAGAGAAGTACTATAGTAGGAGTTTGGAAGAATGGTTCTACCCATCTCCAGTAAAACCTTAGGAAAACTTAAAGAAAAGTTTGCAGAACAAACCTACAGAGCTATGCAGACTTGCTACTGCACTGTAGGAGTGCCATTCACGTCTTTCTGTCAGACATAACAATTTAGTACAATTAAACAGCTGTCTATCAAGTAGCTGCCATAGCTTTTGGTATAACAAATCAATGCAGTCTGAAGACTTAATGACAGGTGGAAGTTTGGCATACTGAATGAGTGGTATTTTTTTTCTACCTTATACAATGGAGATTTTGGAAGCTATTGAGAATAACTGTCTGTCTGTTCTATAGGAATATTTAACAAGTCTATCTAGGCACTCAGACAGAGTAAGGAAAGAAAATTAGTTGGAAAAAGATTCATTTTTACTGATGAAGAAAAAGTATTCATGTTTTCTGCTTAAATTTAAAAAAAGAAAGAAAGAAATTGGTTTTTATCCTCATAAGACAAGACGATCTCATTTGAGAGGGAGGGAGGGATAGGAGGGAAGGAGGGAAGGGGAGACTACACAGAGGTCAATCTTAAATATCATTCCTTGTCTTTTGAGGTATGGTTACCCACTTGGGTTTAGGACACACTCATTCGACTATGTGCTGGTCAGTGAGCTCCAGAAATGTGCTTGTCTCTATTTCCCCAGTGCTAGGATTATAGGTACGCATTACCATGATCAGCTTTTTACACTGAAGCAGGGGATTAGATTCAAGTCCTCATGATTATGTAGCAGGCACGCTACCAGCTGAACCATCTCCCAAGGCCCTGCACTGCTTTGTTTATGATGGCCAAGAGCCATAGATCTTCAGAGTTAGTGGTTTATGATGACATTTATTTTATTCATAAATCTGCAATCTGGACAGGGATTAACAAGGACAAGTCTCCACTTGGTGTAAGCTAAGGAGGCTCAAGGGCTAGGGGCAAGACAAGCACTCATCAGTCAGGTGCTTGCCCTGGGCTGGGAAGACTCAAGCTGTGCTGATCAGAAGAGCTGCAGCTCCTCAAGCAGCTTCCCTCATCTCTCTGTGGAAAGCGTGATAACCCCAGTAGGATGCTTGGAGACAGCCATCCTGAGACACCATCTCAGTCAGGGCTCTCAAAGAATATGTCATAGGAGA